CCCGAATGATCAGCTTCGGCTGGATGGACCACACCCATTAAGGATTTTTGAAATAAAAATAAATAAAATATACGCTGAAAGGGTCACCATCTAATATTTTAAAAATACAAAATCCAGCCAACCATCAGAAAAATGTAATCATCCTAAAGTTCATCCTGATGATTGGTTGTGATGTGGAAGCACAAGTGGTACATCTGTAAGGCATTGGCCTTCCACTTGAAACACCAGGGGTTCAAGTCGGAGTCGAGTCACTTGATTGTGTTAATAATCACATTACCATAGATATTCTCCTGTTTTCCAGCATCTCTGATTTCTTCTCTTCGGTAAGTACTTCCTTACACCTGTCTCTTATACACATCTAGATGTGTATAAGAGACAGGAACTAATACTTTGGGACATGATTAATAAGACATTAAACTGTTGATCTATAGTGAAAAACAAATTTGGATTTTTAGGCAATTTTTTGAGCTCCCATATTTTATAGCTCATTTACTCAATACTGGACTGTGCGATAACTTAACCATTTCTCCACAACATGCCTCATTTTATACTGCCTCCATAAGAATTGCCAGAAACCACATAGTGATGCAGGCCTTTAATTGCAGATGAAACTATGTACTTTTGTATAAGTGGCATTAATATACATTCCAACCCCAGAGATCAAACTACCAGTATAGATGACTTCAATCCCTCTATGTTTAGGGTTGGACCTAAGGTTTGAAAATGTTTGTGTTTTCTTTCTCAGTTATCTGGAAATCACATTTTTGCCTATCTTAGGAATATTATTAACAATAACATAAAATTACGTATAGATCTTGAAAATACCAAAGCAATTAAGTAATTAAGAAGCAAGTTTTTAGTCTCCAAAATATTGAACTTTTACAGCAATTGATCCCACCGACAGATTATGCTACTAATAGTAGAAAACATATTTCGATTCTTATACACATCTAGATGTGTATAAGAGACAGCTTCCTAAGTTGCTGAACATTATTCTCTGTCTTGTTCTTTATTTAATACTAACTGCAATTAGAAATATTTTACTTTTAAAGCTGAAAATGTAAATGCAATATCTATTCAATAATGTAGTAAATAATTATATGTATCTTTAAAACAAAACATGCATTAAATTAAATGCTACATTCATGAGGTAATGTTAGAATTAATATTATGTGAAATAATGCTATTTTGATTATAAAATGATATTACTGGCCATTTCAAAGTAGACATAATGTGTGTGTGCTAGGAACGAATATCTTCACTATTCCAAGACAAATAATCCGTCCAATGGCTAAATTTATATTTTTTCATATTCAAATACAGTATTTCTAATGTAGATGAAGCAGTGTTATAGAATGCAACTACTAAAATCAATTTACATTAAAACTAAAGTTGTGTATAAATTGTATGTTGATGTGTATGCCTAATATTTACCAAATACCTAAAATAAAAACCAAAGATCTTAATAGTTCTTAATGTTTTTTATTTTGATGATGTTGTTGTGTATTTCTTATTAAAAGCTTTTTAACTTATAAACTTTCTTGCTCCGATGGCTTTTGCATTAATAAATAGGTGAGATTACTTTCACCAATTGTGCTTTGGGTAAACCAAATACAAATTGACATTGAGACCAGGTATATAAATATTATAGTTATCTAACTCTGCTTCTGGAGGAATGAAATATAAATCTTTAAAATAACCCATGATGGAAATGTGAACTCCATAATTGTACGTCGACTGACACACTGTGCGATGGGGGAACCAGTGGGAAGGGGAATAGACAAATCCCTAGTCGAGACTTGTTGGACCAGTAAAGAAAAGTTTTTTTGTTTTTAATTCTTTCGGCATAATATATTCCATTTTTGAAAACAGTTTCAAACGACAAAAATTTCCCCGTTTTTATTGGGACTAATGGGCTCAGCCTGAACCCCAACTAGAACTTAGTTCCTGGACTACACTGGCATCAGATCAAACAAATTAGAAGTGGTGTTGATGAACCGATATATGTCAGTTTCCTTTTCAAAACTTACCTTGAATATAATGGAATCGCCCAACCCAGGCGTATATAATGTAACAATGTATAATATGCAACAGGCCTGAATTTGCCATTCGCTGTGGCTCATGTACCACCTCATTGGCATCGGCTAGAAATTAAGAATTATTGAGCACTCTATGCTATGAAATATGTCTGCATTGAAATCTAGTTTAATCCATCAGACATAGAAACACTTATTGGCATTATATAGTGCACAAGTTATAAGCTCTACACAAAATAAATCATTTATTAAACATAATAACAGTCAAACATATGTGAAGTTTTCAAATCTTTATTCAAATTCTGTTGTATGGTATTTCAGATTATCCAAGAACTCTCAATCCGGTGAGCATATAAATCAAAGGGGAAAATCACATCTAATTTTTGCATTTTTTTGTTCAATGGGGTGGACACTAGCTAATATTAAATACTTTTGGAAGAACAGTTTCTTAAATTCTTGCTACAAACTACTAAAATAATTATGATATTAATATTTAATTAATAAAATAATATTTTCAAGGGCATTTGGTTATTTTATCATCTATAAAGCAATACTGCTGGCACTGATCAACTCAAGGATATTATAAAAGTAATTTCAATTTTTACATTTAATTTATAATCTCATAAAACATTTACATACCAATTTTTTTGGTACATCAACACATTATAACAATATCAGTAACAGACAAATTCCCATTAAAACATTAACTGATGTTACAAGACAAAGTTGGCAAATTCAAATGATGATTCTTGCTTATTTAAATTCAACAAGATCAGAGTTGATTGCAAATACTCTTCAAGACTTATAAACTAAAATTGCAGCTTAAATTGCAGGTATTGCTCCTGAGTGGAAGTATACAGAGTTATTGCAGAACCTTAAAAGGTGAGTCCCACATGTCCATGTTATATATTCTGGTGAGCCCTACATTTATCATGCTTTCAATGTTCAGCCGTCCCATAGCAAACAACGTAACAGCTTTTATATTTTTGTTAAGTAACATTTGTTTGCCTTGGAACGGCCATGTTGACCTTTTCAATGTAAAATAATGAGTGACCACCATGTCACAATGTTGGGCATATGAATGAATACATGCGAGAGTAACCATCACATGGACATATCATCTGTGACAATAGTCACCACAAGCCCTTGTAGAACTATGATCATCACATGAACATGTAGGACTATATGACCATTACAAGTCCTTAATGGATACCACTCTAAATAGCAGGGAAACTGGAAAATTTACATTACAGATATTAAAAATCCATGCAATCATAACTGTGCAATTTTTGCATGTAGTTATCACATAATTTGCGAATAAGTGATGTGTGTAATTTTCACACATAAGAAAATATGATGTGTGTATTAATCACACATATTACACATGAGAATTTGCATGTTATTATTACGCAACCAAGTAATGCATGTATCATCATCGATAGAATATCTTCATGTCACATTAGGCCATTGAAACGAATGGCAGTGTTCAATATTTGCTATTAAAACAACAGTTATTAGACAACCATGAATATTGATGAGGTGAAGTCAGGACAGATTACCTATTGATCTTATACTTTAGTTCTTCTAATATTTTCTGTTTTTGCAGATGAACAAGTAGTGTTGCATTTATTCTGATGTTATCATTTATACCATCAATTGAGAAAAGAGGATGAAGTTGTGAAAAGGGGATTTAAGTTGTGGAAAGGGGATAAAAATGGGAAGAGGGGAGGAGGGTCCCATCCCAATATTGCTACTAGTTAAGATATAAAGGGCATTCAGACCTGTTTTAAAACATGAACATAAAATCCATCAGAACCTACTGACTGTATTAACTGTCACTTCATTCATTCTTAACATGTGACCGCCATATAACCTCTATTTCACAGCACCTATCTTTACTTCATTAATCCACACATAAAGGGGACTTTTGACCTGCATATTGTTACTAAACGCAGTCAAACAATCTATGAACCAGTGTGTCCACATGACCATAGGCACTACTTTTCAAGTTCAAGATATCATGAATCAACGGGTCTTAAACCTTAAAAATACCTACATAATACACTTATAATACGCAGGTTTGTGCATATCCCGAACCATTGATTTTTTGCATACTGTACTATGCACTTACCCAATGTACCATGCTGGTAACATTAATTTTCTAAATATAAGATTGTCTTTCTCTTTTCTAATGAAATATTCTGAAAAATAATTTCTATCTCTGAAAGATAATATGGTGATAATAATATTAATAATTTTACTAACAATAACATTAACAATATCATAGTTAAAACAATAATAATAATGGTCATAATGTAAGGCCTATTTAGCACATAACACCAAGGCATTTATACACATAACACCTGTCGTTGAATTTAACACATATACCTGTATACTGCTCCCTGGGAGAGTATTCAATAATAAAAAATAACAATAACATTAATAACAAACATTTGACCAGTCTTTATAGCAATTTCATAAATATTTCATTCCGCATCAATTTCATACATATAAATATCTATTAATAATAAAATCAATATATATTTGAGATTTGAATTTCTGTCTAAAATTTACCTATTTCATATAATTAATTACTAATAATTTACATATTTACATTTCAGATTAAAATATGAACAAATTTTACAGTTCAAATATTGATTATGAATAATTTATCCTGTCCTACATCACAAAAATATTTTTGTTAGATTGTCTTATAAACATCATCTATATTTTACACCCACCAAATAACTAATTCAAGACAAGATATACATAAGAGTTGGAGGTAAGTGAGTTGTAATTAAACTTAGAATAAATGTTCATTGTAAACAACTTAAGCATCAAGTTAGAAAGAGACCAGATGTTTCATTACAAGTATGGAGGTATTTAATGTTATTATCAATATTATAATGTTAGCATTAATATAATAATTTGTTCGTATTAAGTTTGGTATGCAAATTAGATACATCTGGAGCAGATGTCAGCAGATAGATTCCTTCTGTATTACTTCTAGAACGTCCTCTTGATGTAGAGATTTCTTTGGCGAAGCATCAAAATATCTCTCGACGACCGGCGTTGTTTCTTCTGAGGACATATCTATGCTGCTTTGTTGGTCGGAAGACATGCTGGGGAGGGGGCTGAAAGTGTTCGCTAAAGGATCGTAGTTTCCGTTGACTGAGAAATATTTAGTATATGCAAATCCAACTTTGGGCTCTGGGGAGCTTGGAGATGAGGGGTGGATATAGCTATCTGAAATATAAAAGAAAAGTATTTGTGGTATTAAATCAGACAAATGATTTGACTTGAAACAGAGAGGTAAAAGGATTTTCTGAACAAAACCCTAAAAACACTTTGTTAGAATTATCAAAAATTAACATTTTTATACTTCAATAAATCAAAGCACACTGCAACGACAGCATTAGCCAACTCAATTCCATGGAGAACTTTACTAGATGAGGCGGACACAACAGATAATTTTAAAACGATTACTGAGACTGCCACCGATAATTAGCATATAGACATGTCACGTTGTCAAGAGCTCAGAGAGAGCAGTATGGATTCGTTGGCTGACAGTCGAACCAATGCCGTGTGTGCCCAGCTTAGTAACTATGTTAGGTGCTGTTTTTGACTTTTTGATCGATCATATTCAAGAGGGATTATTAGTATGGGCATATTAAAGCTATTCTTGTTATTATTATTAGTGGATTTATTTTAGTGCATCCTCCAAGCTCTATGTGCTGGAAATATTAGTGTCTCATACAAACACAAATAGCTCCATGTATTTGAAGCTTAAAGACTTGCTCATGTCTGTTGGTTTGTGGTACACCAGCATCAATGAGTAAAACAAGTTTGTAAAGCTAATATTTAACAATGAAAATGAGGGTTAGTTTGGGCTTGTGTATGTAACAAGTTAAGCTAAAGCATATAAATTTAAAAATTATGGCAGTCAAAAGTATTGAAAGGATTTTAATAGATTATTTACTTTGTTTTTAACCAATTGTTTTAAAACAGTACATTATCTTATTAGTCTCTAGATTAAATCATTATTATCATACAGTACACTAATTTCTAGATTAACCTAGTGTTTTATATTAGTTGACTATGATTTGAATTATCAATAGATTATGTAACCCTAGATTAAATCATGATATGAATCAGTGAATCCATAAATTCAGTGAAACAGTGGTGCTAGATCTAATATTTTCATTATCTGATGGCAATCCCTTTAACTTTGAATTAAATACTGATACAAGAATATTTTTGAATTAATCCCAGATTAGCACTAATGCATCAAGAACAGGACTAATAATTATTTTAAAAATTCCTTCGGGCCTTGCAGGCACTCAGGAATTTTTTTCAAGCATTAATCTAACCTTCATATAATAATTTTCACCAGTGTATGATATGCAACTCTATTAATTGCTTATTACAACATTCGACTACCTCCTACGAAAAAAAAATAGTACTTTGAAACTAGCATGCACCAATGTAGTTTTTGTTATTCAAACTACATAAACTAGCATACGAAAAAGCGGCCTACAGTCAGTGCAAAAACAAAGAGATGGTAAAGGGAGAAACAATTGTCATGTTCTCCTAGCCCAAGAAACACCAAAGAAAGGGAACTTTCGTTACCTTTATTTCTAAAACCTTAAAATACCATTGCCAATATTAAAATTACTAAATACTATGAAATATCTTGAATATGCTTTGTGCAAACTAAAAGCAAATGATCTCAAATGTCCCCAGTAGCAAGTGAACTGTTAAATTAGTATGCAAATAATATGCAAATGATTATATTACATATTGACTTACATTCGGCATGCTTTTCTTCATTTATCTTAAATATTCATAATGAAAATGAATTAGAACAAAAAGTACAAATTATATTTTTAAAATTTACTATATGTAAACATTAAAATCTGACAGAATTTAAAAAATATAATTCAATAATGATTTTTTTAGTAATATTATTATTAGACCATAATAACAATAGTAATATTAGTAATAGGATATATTATATTATCCTTGCAGTTGCAATTTTTATCTCTGTTCACATTATCAAACTTTATATGACACAAATTAATGTAACTTGTCCACATGGGCAGGTATTTGTCACATAAAACCTGTACAGTGTCAACACAGAGAGTTAAGGGACTCCTGGTCATTGAACCAGTCCAAAAAATAACAAATAACAATATTTAACAGAGGTAAATATTAATTTCCATCTAATAATATGAAAAAAGTAATCAAAATAAAATATTGAGTGAGTAACTATGGATTTGTTTGTTCAAGCTGTTGCTGGTAGTGTTACGTTTACATTATTCAGATGCAATCAAAGTATACAGAATAAATGCATGTTATAAATATTATGATTGCATTCATATCTGTAGAATTGTTTAGTTTTTTTTTAAATGCATTAAATAATTATTCCAAGATTCCATAGTTTTGTATTAGGTATTGTTATGAAGAAAGTCAGTATCATTTAAAAATATAAAATTTTAAAAGTTACACAATTACTTGATTGATTATCAGGCTATTAATGAGCTTGTTTGGGAAATTATAACTTTAAAATAATAACATCAAAATGATAACAATAACATTATTAACAAAAAATAATATATAATAATACTAATAATAATAATATATATAACAATAATATTTAATATTTTAATAAAAATAATAATGTTGATGATGATGATGATGATGATGAGAATGATGATGGTATCTTTTGCCATAACAGCAATACAGTATAAAAATGTTGTTCTTTCTTCATTGATTGAATTATCTTTTCAATTTTTTAATCTCATACCTTCAAACATAGCTATCGGTAAACTTTTTGGTCGAGATCGCTTGTCGTCGCTAGACATATCATCATCATAAGTCAAGGTATAACACTGTAAGTTTGATGTACGTCGCTTAGAATAACAGAAGCGGTCATAATAAGGGGTTCCATTACGGACATGTGAGGGACCAGCCCTCATTGAATTATTATTATTTTCCATTAAACTTCCTTCGATGATCGCTTGCGTCTGCATTCGATGCTGAAGCAATGGGGTTGCATTGCTCGGTGTGGAACATGTTTGCGATTCTGCATCTGATACGTAATAACAGTACCCTTCCTTATACCAACTGCCTCGTTTAAAATCTTCATCGGTTTCCCGCCGAGGCGGATTGCGGAGGCGCACTGCCACCATTGATGTAGCGATTGAGCTTGTTTCTGATACACTGTCTATCGTTTCAGTACTCGCTAAAGGAGCCATTTTCAGTGGATCATAGAATCCATTCAATAAAGGTGATTTCACAGGAGTTGAGATTGGTTCGTTTACCAACGTCGAAGACTCCGATGTTGTGGACATTGAAATATTTTGTGATGAGTTTCTGGTGAGTTCTGTGACATAATTAGCATTGTGTTCTAAATAAGTTCTTGATGCATGCTTAGGGACAGGTTGGAGTTGAGGAACACTTGCGGTGAGTTGTGAAGACGAGGAATTATCTTGTTTCTGTCTTTGGTGATGAAGAAAGAACTCTTTTGGAAAGCTTCGCACCTTGGCACAATCGAGGCACTGAGATGAAATGAGGAGGAAAACAAATGAAACGATGATAATGAATGCCATGAATCATATGCATGGTAGAATGATTTCAAAATATAATTTTAAAAATTGGCAATGCTTTGAAATATACTAAAGAATTTTTCAAAAATTCCATTTGCATAAACTGTGAATGCTTGAATATGATGACCTATTGCTTGATAATTTTTGCCAAATTGATTCCTATCTAAAAGTAAACTTTCTTAGCTACCTCAAAGATTAGCTGATATCTATGACATTAATGCTCTACAGTAAGCTGCCTTAAGCAGTCTAAGTAAAAACCATTTTCCAAAATCGAAAGACTTGAATAAGATAGGGGAGGAGAAGATCTGATTTGGGAAGAGAAAGGAAGCAGGATCAACAAAGAAGGGAGAAATACTGAAAGACAAAGGAGGGGAGTAGGAAGAGAAAGTTTTGATAAAATATTTTTTACAAAAAATAGAATTCTACAAACATATACCTTATCGAAAGCGGACATGACTTCACTGGGTAGATGATCATTTATCATAACAGGTGAGACCAACACTTCATCAAAATCACAGTTATCCCGCCAAACACCATAGTAACTTAAATTTTTTCTTGAAATCCTACCAAAAAGTATTTGAAAACAATTAAAATTTTATGTCCATAAATATCACAATCACGTAACATATTTACAAACAAAATAAGTAGAAACTAGACATATTCAATATTTAGTGGAATAAGGTTCTCATTTCAAGAAAATTTTAGATACGTAAAATAAAAAATACCAACCCTTCTCGTTTTGGATTATTGCGGACAAGGTGAAGGATTTTTCCAGGTGGGAAAAGTGGTGTGCGACCGCTGAATGGAAAAGCAGAGCCTTGTGGATTGAGTCCCAGGCTGGCACTACAAGGAGAAATGGGACCATTCTCAGTCTCATCTGACAAGTTCCGATGATTGATGGATAAACAGCACATTAGGCTGCTCATTATCACCTTCCACTGAAAAAAAAGTAAACATGGTTTCTAGTTAAGAACAACATGTTTTTATTGTTCCTGAAATCAGAATGGACATATAATTAACATTTCAAAAAAAGTTCCCCTGCAGAGACCATGTCTCCTATTTAAGGAATGTTTTCATGATACTGTGATGTAATACACTATAGTAGTTAGTATTTATGTTTTTGGAGGAACGATTCCATTCAATCTCTGAACAAATAAAGATGGTTTACGGTTATGCTCATGTGTTGTCAACAACAAATCCAGTCATAATTTGGCAAGCAATTTACATCAGGCTTGTAGATATTGTACCCATAGTCTATTATTTACATACAATGAATGATAGAATATAAAGGGGGTGGGGGGGGGGACAGTTCAGTTACGATGTTCAGTTTTATTGTTCATCAAAAACAAAATTGCAAAATAATGGGATCAATGACGTACACCAAAATTCAGCACAAACATGTGTACACAAACACACACACACATTTATACAACCTTTCCCTTACCTCCAATTATATGGCCAGCTCTTAATATAGGTCAACATTAACTCACTTTTGCAGTGTCTTCATACCTACAGTATCTTGTCGTAAAAGTTTTTATTGTAATTTTTATTGCTTTGTATTGTAATGTTTAGCGGATAATGCCCCTTGATAGTATATTGAATCAATAAATTGAATTGAATTAAACTGAGTCCATTACAATACTTTGTATGCATAGGAACCAAAATTAATTACACATTTATCATATAATCATATTGTATTTGGTGAACCTGTTTTGGGTGTTTTGACACACTGTTGGGTCTTGAATAAATAAATACATATAATAAATAAATAATTCCAAACCTTAGGGTCTTTGCATCTTGTCATACAGTTGAGAAGATCACTTCGCAAGACCTCCAATTGGGGAAGACCGATCCGTATCACTACGTCTTTTCCAACAACCACTGACAACACAAACTCCTTGCTGTACTCTAATGCTTCTTTGCTGGAACAGTTCAAAATGTTAAAGTTAATAAAATCAACAGGAAGAAGTTATAATTTCCAATGGTTAATATAACATAGTTGTAACATTAATTCTACAATCTACATAACCATGTGTATTAATCCTATAAAGTTTTTTTCACACCATCATGTTTTATGAGAAAAATACTTGTGGTTCATCACATATGGGTGTGGCATGGCATTATATACTGCATACATAGGTTCCTGGCATCTGATTGATTAAAAAGCAGGTAATAACTTTAACCATCACAGTCCTATGATGTAGGTTGAATGATAGTTCATAAATTCCTAGGGGAAAAGTACTATCACGTTAAATGATAGTACTTTTTCCCCCTATTGCGATGTAAGCTCTAGGCCCCACTTATACGTTGTGTAATTTATGATACGCTTCAATGGTAAAAAAGGAACTGCAACCTCTTTGGCCTTTTCGACCGCCTAGGAATTAGGCCTACGTCTACTTGGTGGGAACTCTTTTCATTACTTTATTAGTCCTCGTAGAATCTATGTATGAGGTATATATAACAAATATTGACTGCTCTAGGGTAACGGTAGAAACACTAGTCCCTCAGTAATAACCATAGCATACTATCTTCTTAAATTTGATGCTGTAGATAGCATAACATACTGAATATAGAGTATATACCTAATTTATTCTTTACTGAATATATATTATTAATTATATTACTTCATTCCTTAGAAATTACGATGATCAGGAGGCAGCATGTCCCAATCCTCAACTATACAATCAAGCAAACACTGTTTCCCACTTACTTGAGGAGTCCACCAGGAGGTGAGAATGCAAAGCACTTCAATTCTGGGTAGTCAGGTCTGAGTAGAATTGCTAAGACAGTTGCGGTACCAGCCCCTAAAGAGTGTCCAACTAACACCAGTTTATATTGTTGTGCTGAACCATGAACCTGTTGAAAAAAGGAAAAATTAATACATTTTTAAAATTTACTTTATTCTTTTAAATATTTCAAAAAAAGTTGAATGGAGTGTTGGCAAAATCGAAGTAAACATTTACAACAAAAAACAAATTACATAATGTTTGAAATGCAATATGGTGATATGCATGTGGTCATTAGGATGAATTAACAAAGAAATAGAAAAGTGCAGAAATGCAGGATTAGTATGTACTGAATGAGTGATTGAAATAATATGTCCTTTAATTCTCTAGCTTACAGTAATTTATAATTTCAATTATTTTTTTGTTTCCTTAACATTTAATTTATTTTGTTAAGTTAGTGATCTTTTTATTCTTTTGTCTGTATTTACTGAGGGTCAAAATTGATCAGTTCTGGTACTGACCACCCTCATAAGATATTGTTGAAATAAGTAAAAATAAATAAATGTCTACTGAGTGAATAGATAGATGAATCAACAAATAAACAAATGAATGAATGAAAAAATGAAGAAATTAATATAATAACCACAGCTTACAGTATCTCTCATAAATGCATTTGTGAGCAATAGTTCTTCAGTCAATTTCTTCTTAATATACAATGCAGCTTCAACCATTCCCTGTCAAGTGCAAAATAAATTAATATCTAATCCATAAGTATGTATTTAGGTTAAAGGTCATCCAATACCTGACATTCTGTCTACCACACTGAACCATACATAATTGTAAGCTCTGTCCATGCTATAACATTTTCTGTGACAAATAAATGTGATATGCCCATATTTGGTTGTAGTATGACATCATCATGCCCATATAAGTACACATCACACAAATCTGTCATATAAAATCTGATAGTAAGTAAAGATTTAGCAGTCATTCTACTTAATTATGGAAAATGACAATTTCCAAAAAAATGACTAAAATTGGCAGAAACATAATTTCAACTTAACAAAAGAATATACACATTTATCCACGGTTGCCGCTCTCCACCCAGGAGTACAAGTAGGTACCTAGTAGGTTTGAACACATCTGCGCTGATTACTAGCTGCAATATTATGGAATTCTCCCAGGGAGCTGAGTATGTGTTCCATACGTGTTTGATCCAACGACTGGGGTAGTCATGTGATGCGCTTTATACATATGAATGAAGCGCTATATATAAGACCGACATTTTATTATTATTATTATATAACTATATATAATATATATATATATATATATATATAATTTTATATAATATATAATTGATGCAATACCTTGTGAGCCTGGAAGTTTTCGGAGCAACCCTCAACTGGAATGGCAGTGCTTGAGGCGTGGCAATCTGTCAGGCAATCTTGCATTGACAATGTTCCACGTATAGCTATCACAACCGTACGCATTTCATGGTCAATTGCAACAAAGAAAGGTGTTTCCAAAACCTAAATCAGAGGTAAAAATTTGTAAAACTCATATGAAAAAAATAGTTTTGATATTGGAAATCCGAGGCAAATTTGTGGGGGGGGGGGGGGGGGGGAGCCAAGCCGGCCCTAGCTTTTTTTAAGTACAAAAAAAAATAAATAAATAAAGAAAGAAAGAAAAAGAAAAAATTGATCGCCCAAAATGCCTCGGAGGTTATTTAGAAAAAAACAAATTAATTTTCTATCAACAAAAAAAAAGATATGATAAGATATTGGTAGTAACTGATGGTATATGGCACCATCCTATTTTAGGATTATTCTAGTAGTACATGGTAGTAATCCAGTGGCAGTATATCCCCCAGTGTTACCATTGGTAATAAACCAACCATTGGTAGTAAACTCAGTAGTACTTTGACATTATCCCAGTTATACCACTGATACCAAATCAGTAGAACATTGGCAATAATGCGGTATATCAGAAGTATCCCATTGGTACTTTGGGTAGTAATGCAGTAGTACCTTGGCATTACCCCTATGGTAGGTACATTGGCCGTACATCTGTATTCCAAAATGTTCAATGCAGCAACATTCTAGGGTTACTACGAAGTAGCATTACATTACACAGTAACCATTTGTGTGTGTTGCTTTAAGCTTCATCATGCAGTGAGAAATGCTACATTTCTCGCATTGTTTTTCTATATATTATTTTGTTAATTTTTTAAAAATGTTAATTTATTGGCTCTTAGCTCTTTATATTTATTAACCTTTGATTGGAAAGTACATCAAGATTTTGATATAATGAAATATTGAAGTACAATAATGCCACAAATACTTTTAATTCTGATCAACGTTATTTAATTATCACACCAATTTGTGACAAACCAATGGCAAACATCCACACATGAAAAACAATACCAATATAAACACTGCCAATGTAAATAAAATAAAATATTAGTAGCATTCAAAATTCAGAGCAATTTATATGTGGATGGAACAATTTGGTACGTGTGGATCTGCAGTTTTCACTACTTTAATTCACAAGAACATTTTTTCATAACTGCATTCTGGATGTACTTTTAAGCTAAGTATTAGTAAATGTAGCAGTAAACATCAAACAAATCAACATATTTAAAACTAAACATCAACATCTTACTAATAGAATGAAACACACAAACATGTTTTAACCAAAAGCAATCAGATGTGCTCTCACCTGATCAACTCACCTTGTAGAAAGGTCACATTTTATTTATTACTTTGGCAGCGACAATTTTATAAGAGAAGTTTATCGGAAAGTTTTAAGCATAGAGTTTATCATTAATTGCGTTACTAACGCCCTGCATAAATTTTATAAATATAGGTTTGTTTTTTTATATATAATTTTATAATAATGCATGCAATAAATATACCAATGACCTTATAAATTATTATAAAATATACTTAAATTTATGTAGTGACCTTTCTATGCAAATTAGGTAGCTTACTACACAAATCATGCAAACACTAATTAAAAGCAGCTTACCATGTTTAAGACACGCCTACCTTAGATGTTGAGGTTGCACCAAGCTTTGCGGAGCAACTGACGGGATGGTTGTGCGTCGAAATACTAGTCTACTCAGAGGCAGCAGAAGAGGGAAGCAGAACAGCGTAGTGAGCATTAATATAACCGGAGGTCAGTGTATATTTAAAGCTGATAAAACAACAACCACCATGGCAAGAATACGCTAAGCGCAGACACTGTCTTTAAATTTCATGCAATCATGTTAGTATAAAGCAAACGCAACATATAATACATTTGAAATCAATCCTGACAGAAATGTACAAGAATTCAATTTATAGTTTATTTCAGGAAAATTTCCAAATATAAAATAAGAACTTCCTTATTAATGTTATTTATCTAAAAAGTAAAACATGGTTTTTTATTGTTTTATTCAAGCACTGGAAACAAAAATAATTTGAATCTGGCAGGATTGAAAACAACGTAGAGACTTGTTATGCAATTGCTCTTGCTTTTAAAAATGGCAAATATAAAATGGTCGATAGAAATATTATTCTAAATATATTAAATTGCTAATAAGAATATTCTCTGGATTAATATAAATGTTTTTAAAGATCAGACAGGAAATAAAGGCAGGTTAGTGATACAATTTCATATATATTTCTTTAAAAAATCATATAATCGAATGACTGGTAAAACAATTTCTACTATTAACCTTTCATATTAAGAATTATTCAATTCAAACAATGATTTAGACTTTGATTACAATGATGGGCGTTATTATATCATGAGAACCATATTTTTTCCCAACAAATTCTCTTCTGCTCATATTTTGTTTATGATGTTAATATATGATCATTATTTTGCATCCCAGTATAGATGAGCCACTCGTGAATTTTCACATTTTTATAATATTCCAGATGAGAAACCAAGCATTAGGCGATCTATTCTACCTCGGTAAAACGTATACACTGTATAGTGTGCCATAAATTTGTCTTCAAGAATTTAACTAGAAGACTGACCTCCTGACATTTAAAATAGCTTTCAAGTTCTAAATGCATTTTGTGTTTTGGTTACTACACAAGTCAGAATAACGAAGAATATGGGACGACCAAGCATTTATCTACTGTAATGAAAAAAACTCCAGAGAATATGCTTAAAGCAAGTAGTTTGTAATTATTATAAATGATTATAAATTCAACTTTGTATTATATTAGTAGGCTACACATTAGTTTACCAATCAAGACATTAAGTTGCTTTTAGGTAAATCATTATACAACAAATTCATGCATACATGCAATAGATTAGAATAAACATAAAATAACAGATGAAAGAAAAACAACATTTAAAGTAATTCCTACATACATTAATAAGTATTAAATTGACAATTTATAAATAATAAAATGGTAATAAAATACATATAAGGACAATACATAAAAATGCATACATTTATGACTCAACATCTCTGTAACAGAATGGATCTGGAGGAACGTCATTTGTAATAGTCAAATAAATTAGCATTACGATATTGGCAATGCCAATACCCATAAAGAATCAGGTGTCATACATTTTCTCATCTGCTAGCATTCATTATGTCGTCTGCTAGTGTTATTTAAGCTGCTCTAACACTTGTTTTACCTCAAGCGTTACATTGGTTGGCTCATTTTATACACTGTATATTTTTAAGATTCTTTAATTGCATGTATGGGACAAAATATATCCGATATACTTGATGACCTGATGATGATAATGATAATTAATTAGAGTTGTTCTTCTTTCTTTGTGATGAACATTTTTCTCTGGTCTGTTGTTCTTGATACTTTGTTTCTTTTTCAAACATTGCACTATCCCACTCTGTATGATAAAGTTTGACCATATGGTTTGTTACGGTTGATTTGTGTCTTAATTTTAATTCTGTACTTTGTACTAATCCATAAGATAGGTTAAAATGGTTACATGAGGATTTTACAAAGATGATAATAATAACAATGATGATAATGATCATTACAAACTACATAATACCAAATTATAAAAATATTGCAATCAATAGTTATTGTTTAAGTACAGATAATCACTTATTATTATCACAAACTATTATAGAGAATCACTAATAATGACAATAATGATGATAATGATGCTGATGATAATGATAATCATGATCATGGTAAAGATGATGATGGCAATGATGATGACATAAGATGATGATGATAGTAGAATGGTAATGCTGATAATGGTGATCACACTCATGGTAAAGAAGATGATCCCGAGGATGATAATCAAGATGATGAAATTGAAATGACAAGATAACAAAGACAATAAAATCATTGATAAGAACCTCTATGAGATATTAAGATGTTACCGCTTTCATTGTCTCAAGTAACAACTGACACAACATTAATAATTTAGCTATAAATTCATATACAAATATTAAAGAAATAACAAAAAACAAAGAAACAATTTCACAAACAAGTCTCAAACAATGCTACACCTATAGCAATCCCTGTGAGGATGAGCAGGAAATGATGCATTTGGGATTGGAAGAAAATTATAGAAAATATAAACCTCGGGGAAAAAATCACATCCTTAGCATCTCAGATTTATATGTCCGACTCTGGCAAAACCCTCCGTTTGTCGCAATTTCTAATTTTCCATAAGAACCCAAAATGTTTGAGAAAAGAATTTTGAACATTTTCATGTTTTTTGCATTTCATAAAAGAAGATATATTGAAGAACATTTCTGCAAAATGTCAATCACTAAATATAACTGAAAAGTATATTTAAATTATTTTTAAAATACAAATCTTAATAATAAACTATTGATTTTGGAATCTTTGGAAGTTGTTTTCTCAAAACCTACATGGCTGATATATAAAGAATTAAATATTCATAAGTTTGCTAATACTCAACCAATTTCTATCAATTAAACACTGTTTTAAAGAAGAATTCATATATAATCTAACAATATCAAAAACTCAATTTTGAATTTTTCTTTTCCTACAAACGGCTGGTTTTGCCAGAGCCAGTCACATTATATTGTCATCTGACTACTATTTTATTATTTTCTTTTCTCACTAGGAAATCTACTGTTCTCTCACAGAGACAACTATTATAAAAATAAATAGAATACATGATTATCATGATATATGATTTATGTATGTTCATGATCCATTGATTGAATAAATGTATATATTGAACTGAATTGACACTTGAAAATTTTACCAAATTAAATTTTACCAAATTAATAAGATATAATAATTTGAGTGAAATTGTGGTTTGGTGGTGAATATGCTTGCCTTCTAATCCCAGGGCCTAGATTCAATTCCCATCAAGTAATAAGATCCCATTGTAAAAGGGATATTCACTTAAAAAAGTGATTAAATTCGCTATTGGTTTGTCCTTAGCAACGGTGCCTTAAAAATAAATGACAAAAACTAATAACTGTTACTCAACAGGATGAATTTTTTCCACATCTACAGAATATATATCACACTTTTACAAAATGACATGAGAAGTGAATGAAAGTGACTCATTTTGAGTACACATCTGAATAAGGAATGGATCACAAGGATTGCTATAAGTTGTTGCTGCCATGCTAACATGAGTAAAAACTATAACAAAATTATATAGCTTGAATTAGAAATTTTAATAGAAAACAGCATACCGTATCAGTATTAGATGTTTTAATACAAAATAAGCAACAAGCTTCTTTAGTCTCTGGTTCTACGTCCATGCATCTTTCATCCATAACCTCTTGAAACGACATGCTTGTTTCCAGACACATAACAGGTGGAAAATCAGCAGCCTGTTCAACGGTTTGCGACGTTTCGCTGTTCTGTTCTCCACCTGCGTTCTGCTGCCCACCATTGCTGACACTACCAACTAACCGTAAGCCCTCCATATCCATGCTAAGCTCGCCGACCGAGCCGGCATGGTGTGTGATTGGTTGAATTCTACTAACCGCGGAATGAAATGTGGTGTACACGATGTTTGAGTCGTCCAACCCGCTGATTTTTTTTAGAGCAGCGTAGTTGCAATGACAACAGTTGTCGTCATCCAATGGCACCGGTCTCTTCTTCTTTAAACATGGAAGACAACAACAGCAGCTGTGGAGGTGACAAGAGATAACATGATCATTGTTATTGTTAGGAAATGAGAAACAACTGGAAAGAAAGACAATTCTCAAATAACTTTCATTTACAATAACACAAAGAAAATGAGTAAACTTAAATTTATATTGCAGTAAAATCTGAAAATTTTTAGAACAAAAAAAAATCAGTTTTTGCTGGATTTTCAGACTTTTTAACTACTAAAATTGATTTTTATCTGGTTTTCATATTATATAGTGTTATTTTTTGCAATAACAACAGTTTAATTATCATGTTGGTTTAGGATGGTTCAAAACACCCAAGATCATCTAGTTGATTAACTGATTAATGAAGTAAAATAATTAATTGATCAATATTGATCATTTAACATACCGACATCCTTGACATAACTGGCAGAAGCCAGTGGTTGGATTCAGCAGCGCGTAGACAGGCCAGCCATATGCTGCTGAGGCATACTTCATGTAGTATTTGGCATCATTAAATAGTTGTTTCTCTTCCTATAAAAAAATAATAAGATAATGATAAACAAACTGTCTTAAAGATAACGCAAATGGGATGGTAAAAATTGTGTGACAATTATATAAGGAGCGATGTTACGATGATGATGAAGATGATGATGATGATGATGATGATGATGAAAAAAGACAGATGAGGATCAATATGATGACAGCTTTGAAAACGATGTAACTGATGGTGGCTGTCATGATGACAAAGATGATTAAAATACTCATTATATAAAAGATGATGAAGTTGATGATAATACTAATAAAAAAGATTAAAATTTAATTGGTATTTTAATGATGATAAGGACAATAATGATAGATATAGTTTTTGCTCCATAACTTACAACATTTTCTAGATCAAGAAAGCGTGTTTGTGGCGTGATAGGAATCCCCGAGAGGAACTTCATCACATGCCAACGAGGATTAGCAATAATCACATTTCTCTTCCTTTTCTGCTCTTCACGAAGCAATAACAAGCCGGCAAAAACATCAGACGGCACAATATCCAGGTCACGGAAGAACTCTGAGAACAGCTCTGCCACTTCTGCGAAAGCATTCTGAACAAAAAATGAGGGAATTAAATACTGATGACATTTAAAATTCTTGAAGAGAATTGCAAAGGAATCTCAAGACATTTAGTAATGGGACACATACATGCTGTATTAATGCCAACTTCATCATTAATGTTTGTGTTGAACCCTGTCCAGCCTATCAAATTTTATGTGACAAAAAACGTGTAATATGCCTAAATATGGTCATGATGACATCACACATGACCATATATAGGCACATCATGACTATATATATGGGCATATATCAGTTTTTTGTCCAAAAAAAATTTGATAATCTGGAGAGCTTTAAAAGTACTAAACTTTGTTGAATTTATTAGCTTTTAATAAAAAATTATAGCAATAACATATTTCTCACCAATTAGCAAACACATTAATAACATCGTTGCTATATTGCTTCTGAGTCCTAAATTGGCTGGTCTTTAATTTAAGATTTTTTATAGTAAACATCTTTAAATTAGCGAACCAAATGTTTTGATTTGTCTTATTAAAATGTGATAACTTATTTTGTCATTTTTAAGTAAGTTGATCAATCCTTTAATTGAACTTTTGGCAGGCTTTACTATTTTTCGAGACTTTATTACAAGGTAGTACACTGTAAAATGAGTGCTCATTATGTTTAAATTAAGTTTTATCTGTTTTTATGTTTTAATTGTCTCACAAAAATAGCACACCTCCTGCGTATCCCGTACACCAGCGCAGCAACATAGTAGCCGACATCTGTTATGCCAATTACGTTCATATAGTTCTTGAGTCTTTCTGTTGGATAGAAAATTTTTTTATTTCTGTTAAACATTTTTAGGGAGTAGAGCTGAATGTATTTGTAAGAGAAACTCTACTGTTACAAGATTTGAACTCAGGACACTAAGATTAGAATGCAAGCATATCTTAACCACTAAGCAACAGCTCCACTTACACTTAACCCCATCAGGAAATACTAGTTACTACCCAGTGGCTTTGAACAAGCTAGTGTACTCTGTTGGAAAACTGTTTCCATTAGGGCACTTCTTATTAGTAATTATTTCACCCATGAATAAAAGAATAAAGTATGGTATCACAGAACATACATGATGTGGATATGAATGTCAACTTCATGAATTAACAATAAACAAAATTAAAAGATTCAAAATTCTCCTCAGTGATAGTAGACAACAACCAGAACGGCTGATTCCATTACACTGAAAATAGTTCCCATTATCTGGCCATTATATCAATTAGGATTAAAGAGTTAAAACCTTTCTATATTACGGTAAAGTTCAAAGACTGGCCACATCCTGCTGAAAGCGCTTAAATGTTCTTTTGAATTCACTGGGTAAAGTCTACTATTAAAGAAGCATTAACTCGTAAATCTGCCAAACTTTGCCGGTAGGAAGGTCACCAGGTGACATAAGCTTATTTCTATGTTGTAATAGTAATCACCTCTAATGGACTCATTTTGAATGTTTAGCACACCATCTATCATAAAGTAATTTTCACAGTTATAAATTACCAGAAGAAATACATCAAGTACAGCGGTAAGTGATTGGACTTTGGTGCAACACAGATCAAGTTTGAGACCTGCCAGGATGACACTTACTTGTGTCCTTGAATAAGACACTTTGCTCAACTCATCCTTCGGATGTGATGTTAAGCCCTTGGTAACATGTGCATACGGCATATGCACACGACAAAGTACAGGCTAGGTCTCCCAGTCTACTGACTAAGGGTAGGTACTGCACTAAGGCCGTTGTGGGTACCAAGAGGCCTAAATCCAAATTTCCTTACACATTTACTTTTCAATAATATTCTTTGTACAGTATTTACATGTATTAGATCCTGCAATGCTTGTTGAAAGGACTTGAATTCAGTGTACATATTAAGTTAATAAATGTGCAAGAGTTCTAGGAATACTGATTTCAATCTGGTGGGTTTCATTAAATTGATTAACAAGAGTACTAATCAATAGATATGGTCTGCAAGCGAGGGAAGTGAAATTAAAACAGTATGTCAACTCGAATTGTTTAAGAAAAATGCATGTTATAGCTCAGCTATTCCACACTGATAAAATAATACTCTTTTATTTCAATGCAAAAGACTAAAAACATCTATTAAATATCAACTACTTAAAAAAATAAATA